TTTTGTTTTTTTTTTTTTTTTTTTTTTTTACATGAAAGGCAGGGAATTACAATTCAAAAGTTTCAGAATCAAGTTCTCACTGTTATCACATTCTGGTTCTAACATTGGAGCAGACCACCTAACACCTGGATATTAACTCAGAGATATTGTGGGCAGAGACACAGAACAGGATAATGTAATTAGAAATAAATTTAATCAATGAGGTGAAAGACCTGTACACTAAAAACTATGATATTGATTAAAGAATTTGAAGAGAATACAGATAAATAGAATGATAGCTTGTGTTCATGATCAATATTGTAGTATAATTAATATTGTAAACACGGTGATTCTACTCAAAGAGAACTACAGACTCCATGCAATCTTTAACAAAATTGAAGTGACATTCTTTAGAGAAATAGAAAAAAAAATACCAAAATTTGTATTGAATCACAAAAGATTCAAGGGAGCCAAAGCAATCCTAAGAAAGAAGAACAAAGCTGGAGGCATTATACTTTCTAATTTCAAAGTGCACTACAATGCTACAATAATCAAACCAGTGTGGTAATTGCATAAAAACAGACACATAGACCAATGCAATAGAATCAATAACTCAGAAATAAACTCATGCATATATGGTCAACTAATATTTGACAAGAGTGCCAACAATACACAAAATAGAGACATGATAATCTCTTAAATAAATGGTGTTGGGAGATTGGATATCCTCATTAAAAAATAAAATTAGTCTACACTTGATCAGCATACCTGAATGTGATGGGGAGAATGAATCCAAGTTGGAAAACACTCTTCAGGATATTATTCAAGAGAACTTCCCCAACCTAACATGGCAGGCCAACATTCAAATCCAGGAAATGCAGAGAATATCACAAAGATATTCCTCATAAAGAGCAAACCCAGGGCACATAATTATCAGATTCACCAGTGTTGAAATGCAGGAAAAAAATCCTAAGGGCAGCCAGAGAGAAAGGTCGACTCACCCACAAAGGAAAGACCATCAGACTCACAGCGGATCTCTCGGCAGAAACTCTACAAGCTAGAAGGGAGTGGGGGCAAATATTCAACATACTTATAGAAAAATACTTTCAGCCCATAATTTTATATCTGGCCAAACTAAGCTTCATAAGAGAAGTAGAAATAAAATCCTTTATGGACAAGCAATTGCTGACAGATTTCATTGCTACAAGACCTGCCTTACAAGAACTCCTGATGTAAGTACTAAACATGGAAAGGAACAACCAGTACCAGCCACTACAAAAAGGTACCAAATAGTAAAGAGCATCAACACAATGAAGACACCATGTCAACTAATGGAAAAAACAACCAGCTAGCATCAAAATGGCAGGATCAATTTAACACATAATAATAGTAACCTTAAATGCAAATGGACTAAATGGCCCAATCAAAAGACACAGACTGGCAAATTGGATAAAAACTCAAAACCCATCAGTGTGCTGTATCCAGGAAACCCATCTCACATGCAAGGACACATATAGGCTCAAAATAAAGGGATGGAGGGAGATTTACCAAGCAAATGGAGAGGAAAAAAAAAAAAAAGGAGTTGCAATCCTAGTCTCTGATAAAATAGACTTCAAAAAAAACAAAGTTCAAAAGAAACAAAGAAGAGCATTATATAATGGTAAAAGGATCAATGCATCAAGAAGAGCTAACGATCCTAAATATATATGCAACCGATACAGGAGCACCCAGATACATAAAGCAAGTTCTTAATGACCTACAAAGAGACTAAGATTCCCACCCAATAATAGTGGGAGACTGTAGCACTCCACTGTCAATAATAGACAGATCAATGAGACAGAAAATTAATAAGGATATTCAGAACTTGAACTCAGATCTGGATCAAGTAAACCTGTTAGACATCTACAGAACTCTCCACCCCAAATCCACAGCATATACATTCTTCTCAGCACCACATCATACCTACTCTAAAATTTACCACATAATTGCAAGTAAATCACTCTTCAGCAAATGCAAAAGAACAGAAATCATAACAAACAGTCTCAGACCACAGTGCAATCAAATTAGAACTCAAGATTGAGAAACTCACTCAGAACTGCACAGCTACATGAAAATTGAACAACTGGTTCTTGAATGTTGACTAGATAAACAGTGAAATGAAGGCAGAAATAAGGATGCATTTTGAACCAATAAGAACAAAGACACAACATACTAGAATCTCTGGGACACATTTAAAGCAGTGTCTAAAGAAAAAATTATATCAATAAATGACCACATGAGAAGCAAGGGAAGATCTAAAATTGATACCTTATCATCAAAATTGAAAGAGCTAGAGGAGCAAGGTAAAAAACAAAAACAAAAACAAAAACAAAACAAAAACTCAAAAGATAGCAGAAGACAAGAAATAACTAAGATCAGAGGAGAACTGAAGGAGATAGGGACACACACAAAAAAAAACCTTCAAAAATCAATAAATCCAGGAGCCGGTGTTTTGAAAAGATCAACAAAATAGACCACTAGCCAGATTAATAAAAAATAAAATAGAAAAGAATCAAATAGATGCAATAAAAATGATAAAAGGTATATTACCACCATTTCAACAGAAATACAAACTACCATCAGAGATTACTACAAACAACTCTATGTACATAAACAACTGAACCTGGAAGAAATGAATAAATTCCTGGACACTTGCACCTTCCCAAGCCTAAACTACGAAGAAGTCAAAACCCCAAATAGACCAATAACAAGGGCTGAAGTTGAGGCAACAATTAATAGCCTACAAACCAAAAAAAGGCCAGGCCCAGATGGGTTCACAGCCGAATTCTACCAGACATACAAAGAGGAGCTGGTACCACTCCTGAAACTGTTCCAAACAATACAAAAAGAGAGAACCCTTCCACATCATTTAATGAGACCAACATCATACTGATAACAAAACATGGCACAGACTCAACAAATAAAGAAAACTTCAGGCCAATATCCATGATGAACATAGATGCAAAAATCTTCAATAAAATACTGGCAAACCAATTGCAACAGCACATCAAAAAGCTTATCCATCACAATCAAGTAGGCTTCATCCTGGGGATGCAAGGCTGGTTCAACATATGCAAGTCTATAAATGTAATTCACCACATAAACAGAACCAAAGACAAAAACCACATGATAATCTCAATCATGCAGAGAAGGTCTTAGACAACATTCAACAGCTCTTTATGCTAAAAACTCTCAATAAACTAGGTATCAATGGAATATATCTCAAAATAATAAAAGCTATTTATGACAAACCCACAGCCAATATCATACTGAACGGGCAAAAACTAGAAGCATTCCCCCTGCAATCTGGTGTAAGACAAGGATGCCTACTCTCACTACCCCTATTCAATATAGTATTGGAAGTTCTAGCCAGAGCAATCAGGCAAGAAAAAGAAATAAAGAATATTCAATTAGGAAAGGAGGAAGTCAAATTGCCTCTATTTGCAGATGACACGATTGTATATTTAGAAGGCCACATCATCTCAGCCCAAAATCTCCTTAAACTCATAAGCTAATTCAGCAAAGTCTCAGGATACAAAATCAATGTGCAGAAATCACAAGCATTCCAATAACAGACTAACAGAAGGCCAAATCAAAAATGAACTGCCATTCACAATTACTACAAAGAGAACAAAATACCTAGGAATACAACTAACAAAGGATGTAAAGGACCTCTTCAACGAGAACTACAAACCACTGCTCAAAGATATAAGAGAGAACACAAACATACAGAAAAACATTCCATGCTTTGGGTTAGGAAGAATCAATATTGGTTAGGAAGAATCAATATTGTGAAAATGGCCATACTGCCCAAAGTAATTCATAGAGTCAATGCTATCCCCATCAAGCTATCTATGACCGTCTTCACAGAACTGGAAAAAACCACCTTAAAGTTCATATGGAAACAAAAGAGAGCCCACATAGCCAAGACAATTCTAAGCCAAAAGGACAAATCTAGAGGCATCACACTACCTGACTTCAAACTATACTACAAGGCTACAGTAATCAAAACAGCATGGTACTGGTATCAAAACAGATATATAGACCAATAGAACAGAACAGAGGCCCCAGATGAACACATCTATAACCATCTGATCTTTGACAAACCTGACAAATATAAGCAATGGGGAAAGGATTCCCTGTTTAATAAATGGTGTTGGGAAAACTGGCTAGCCATGTACAGAGAGCAGAAACTCAACCCCTTCCTGACAGCTTACACTAAAATTAACTCTAGATGGATTAAAGATTTAAACATAAGAACTAACACCATAAAAACCCTAGAAGAAAAACTAGGGAAAACCACACAGGACATAGGCATAGGCAAGGACTTCATGACTAAAACACTAAAAGCATTGGCAACAAAACCAAAATAGACAAATGGGATCTAATTAAACTCCAGAGCTTCTCTACAGTAAAAGAAACTATCATTCAAGTGAACTGGGTAAAAATTTTACCCATTCATCAGAATGCTCAGCAAACTGGCACAAGAACAGAAAATCAAACACCGCATGTTCTCACTCATAGGCAGGTGTTGAACAATGAGAACACATGGACACAGGGAGGGGAGTATCACACACTGGGGTCTTTTGGGGGGAATAGTGGAGGGACAGTGAGAGGTAGGGAGGTTGGGGAGGGAAAACATGGAGAGACAATGCCAGATATAGGTGACGGGGGGATGGAGGCAGCAAACCACATTGCCATGTATGTACTTATTTAATAATCATGCATGTTCTTCACATGTACCCCAGAATCTAAAAAGCAATAAAATATATATATGTATAAATAAAAATAAAATAAAATAAAATTAGATGCCTATTATACACCACTCATTAAAAAATCTTGAAATAGATTAAACTGAAATGCAAGTCCTGAAACTATAAAAGCGAAAAAAGAAACATAAGGTAAAAGCTTTTTGACAATGCTCTTTGCAATGATTTTTTTGGATACATCAAAAGCACAATAAATAAAAGCAAAAATAACAATATGGCATTCAGAGAGTGGAGGCCATGCTGCATACCCTGGAAAGAAACAATTCAGACCCCACACTCTTGCCCAACATCACACTGGGCTGCGAGATAAGGGATTCCTGCTGGCATTCGGCTGTGGCCCTAGAGCAGAGCATTGAGTTCATAAGAGATTCTCTCATTTCTTCAGAAGAGGAAGAGGGCTTGGTACGCTGTGTGGATGGCTCTTCCTCTTCCTTCTGCTCCAAGAAGCCCATAGTAGGGGTCATTGGGCCTGGATCCAGTTCTGTAGCCATTCAGGTCCAGAACTTGCTCCAGCTTTTCAACATACCTCAGATTGCTTACTCGGCAACCAGCATGGATCTGAGTGACAAGACTCTTTTCAAGTATTTCATGAGGGTTGTGCCTTCAGATGCTCAGCAGGCAATGGCTATGGTGGACATAGTGAAGAGGTACAACTGGACCTATGTATCAGCTGTGCACACAGAAGGAAGCCAGGGCTCCCAAACAGGATTCTTCTGTGCACTTTACCTAATGTTCCTGAATAACAAGATCAATGCATATCTGGTTTACTAAATAAATCCACCAGCAATTTCCCTTATGCAAATAACTTACACATTTCAATAAAAACATGTTAGCTCTTAAAAATATATATATTATATCAAAAAAGTATTTAAAAAAGTATTATATCAAACTAAAGCTTCTGCGCTGCAAAAGAAACAATCAACAAAATGAAAAGAAAATAAATTTTATCTTACTCTTATGAAGAAAATATCCATGATATGGTTTGGCTTTGTGGCCCCACCCGAATCTCATCTCGAATGGTAATCCTTCCTAAACACCTAGATTACAATTTGAGATGAGATCTGGCTTTGGATACAAAGCCAAATAATATCACAGATATTTTGAGAGGTGGGAGATGATTAGATCATGGGAGCTGCTTCCTCCATGCAGTTCTCATGATGGTAAGTGAGTTCTCATGAGATGTGATCTGATGGTTTTATAAGTGTTTGGCAAGTTCCTTCTTAACTCATATTTCTCCTCCTGCTGCCTTGTAAAGGAGGTGCCTGCTTCCCTTTCACTTTCCACCATAATTCTAACTTTCCTGAAGCCTCCTCAGCAATGTGGTACTGTGAGTCAATTACACCTGTTTCCTTTATATATTACCTAATCTCAGGTATTTCCTCATAGCAGTGTGAGAATGCATTAATACAATCTGCAAGCCATATATCTAAAACAGGTTTAGTATCCAGCTTATGCAAGAAACTCATAAAACTCAATAACAAAAATCAATCAAACAAACAATAAGAAAAACTAATAATTCAACTAAAAATGGAGAAAGTGTTTGAATAGACATGCCTCTAAAGAAAATGTACAAACGATCAACAGGTACGTGAAAAAGATATTCAACATCACTAATCACCAGAAAATGTAAATCAAGCCTACAATGAATTATTACTTCACACCTGTCAGGATGACTGCTATCAAAAAGATAAGAGACAATAAATGTTGCAAAAACATAGAGAAAAGGGAACCCTTGTACACTGGGGAGAAGGGGGGCAATACAAATTGTTGGAGTTGTTATGGAAAATAGTACAGAGGTTCCTCAAAAAATTAAAAATAAAACTACTATATGACCCAACAATCTCACTTCTAGATAAATATCTGAAGGAAGCAAAATCAATAGTTTGAAGAGATACGTGTACTCCCATGTTTATTGCAGCATTACTCACAATAGCTAAGACATGAAAACAACCTAAATGGTCACTGACAGATGAGTGAAGAAATTGCAGTGTGCATATATGTGTGTGTATGTATGTGTGTGTGTATAAATATGTGTGTGGGTGTGCATATATATGTATCAATTAAATATTTTGATACTTTAATTATGGCTGTTTAAAAAATTTAGAAAAAAATACATTTGTGTCACAAGGTCTCTACAACAACAAAAAAAAACTTTTTTTTGTTGTTTTGTTTTTGTTTTCATATCTATAAAAGAAAGAAGAAATTAAGATAAAATAGTTGAATACCATAGAACCACGTGTGTTAGGTTTGTACTTAGAAACATACCTTGGTACTGGAAAGAACAGAAAAATGCTTGTAGTATCTCAGAACATAGACTTCATGTTTGTAGAAACTTTGTGTTTTTCTTTTAGAGACAGAGTCACACTCTGTTGTCCATGCTGTGTGCAATGGTTCAATCTCAGCTCACCACAACCTCCCACCTCCCTGGTTCAAGCCATTATCCTGCCTCAGCCTTCAAGCAGCTGGACTTACAGACATGCATCACCATGCCCAGCTAATTTTGTATTTTTAGTTGAGATGGGGTTTCTCCTTTGGTCACGCTGGTCTTGAGCTCCTGGTCTCAGGTGATCTGCCCATCTCAGCCTCCAAAAGGGCTGAGATTACAGGCGTGAGCCACTAAGCCTGTCCTAATCTGTGAATGCTATTGAAAATTTACTTAAATTAATGTGAAGGAACAAAATAGGCATAAACCTACAAAGACAAAACGAAAGACAGTAGATATAACAAACATTTCTATCGATAAAATTCTAGAAGCCAGAAAATGGTTGGAAAGTGGTACTTCGGTTTAGAAGACGAAAAAAAATAAAATCTAAGTGTTCAGAGAGCAAGCCTACAATAAGATCTTCATGTCAAAGAAACCACTAACTCTTCATGCATAGAGACACCACTTACCTCTGGATAATGAATATTAAAAATTTTTGAAGTTTATAAGAACTATTTAGACCCTCTAAGTGTTTAGACCCTCTAAGTCTTTCCCCTGTTTGAAAAAAAACAGGCACATTTTCTGACCACCCCTGGCAAAAGAATATGGAAAGACTGAACAAGACAGATTGTATTTAGGGATTAATGCAGAAGCTGGGAATGGGCATGAAGCATTGTTCTTAAGGAAAATAGTGGAAAAGTAAATTTTAATATGAAAGTCACTTCTACCTCTGGATTCTCAATATTCCTAATTGCATTGCTTTGTGTGAAGTGAGGCACAAAAATTGAAGATCTTCTCTCTACTGTTATTGCTGTGAGCAATAAAATGTCCTTTTTCTTGGGCTCATTAGTCTTGTGTCTTCTGTCAGTATCCATGAAAATGAGGCATATTAATGTGTTAGCTTGCAATTAGGGTAAAATATCAACCCCTTCATAACTGGTAACAATCACATACTTACAAATCAGTAAACAAGGCCCACAAGGTTAGGTGATATGTTCAGGGTCACAACTAACAGAGCATAAGGTCAGATATGAACCTGTCTATACAACTCCAACTTCATCAGTGGATATGCTATTTGAGTTAACTATTTGATAAGGGAGACATTTGGTAAAAGGATTTAGTGATGGGAGAAGTTATCTGTGTAATATATTCACTTAAAATATATCAGGTTTTCATTGACATGGTTATTAAGAATTATCTATAAATACTTCTTTGAAGAAGCAGCTTTACCTTCCCTTAAAGCAAACAAAACTCTAAGCATGGTCTTTAAAATCTGCAATGGATCCTGGAACAGTAAACTTTTCCTGAATGTTACTATAATATATTCCTTCTTTTGAAAGAGTTCTGGATGACATTAATTAAACAATGAGGTATTAAAATAATGTGATGTCCAGGAATTCTGCTCTTTATTATTTGTAACTTCAAAACAAGAGTGGCAAGTGTTTAGTCCAACAGAAAATAAAAATCCAACTGGAAAAACCACAAAGTGATTTCAAACACGTGAAGCTGCTGCTACTTCTGAATAATGGTTAGCCTTGACCAACATCTTTTCTTTCCCACTTCTTCTGATTGCCTTCCAACTACGGGAACCACAGGAATTAGCTCTAGGCAAACAAAGCTCTGGACGTGTGATAGTAATCTCTGCCACAAAATACATGAACTAGTCTGGAAAACTTCACCTTCAGAATGAGACTTTCATTTTTGTTAATGCATTGCAAACTTTTTCTGAGATGCCTATGCTAGTTAGAACTCAATGAAGCTGTATAGTGGATAACAAAAGGAAAAGAAAGTAATAATTCCTGAAAAATCTATAAAAACACTTTCTTCCCAATAGTCTTCCTTTCCTTTTCATTCTTTCAAGCTCCTAATACAGTGAAAAACAAACAAACAAACAAAAGGATATTTCACTATTTAACAAAAAGGTTATTGTTAAAAATTCAAATTTGTCTTGGTAGCCAAAGTTTCCCTGACGTCTTTGGATTTCTGAAGGTAGTCTAGCAGCCTCAGGAGGTTGGGAGGAGCAGAGTAACACATTCACACTGATTTCTCCTCAACAACTGTTTCAGCTCCCACATCTGTTTCTCTAGGCATTTAAGTATCAAGATATGTTATCAGTGACAGACTCAAGATTCAAATCCTAAAGTACAATAAAAAGAAAAAGAAAAAAAAAAAAGATTCAAATCCAATACCCCTTAACCCTCAAATTGAAATATTTCTATTTCTTATTGTTAAATTAAATAATCAGCAATTAGCCTGAGATTGTCTCTATGCCTTGAGTTTCCATAGGGAAAATAACAACAACAACAACAACAAAAACTCTGTAAATAACCTATTACATAAACACATCAAAACCTAACTTAGGAGGATATATATGGGTGTATAGATATTCATTAGCTAGGTTTCCAATAATGGACAGATAACATTCATCCAATCCTAGAAAGGCAACTGCTCAGATCATGACCAAATAAGGTAAATGCCTCATCAAACCACACCCAGATAAGGCCAGTGCCTAGCTGTAGCCAATCAGGTGATTGCTCTACTCTGCCTGGTATCTGGCTTGTAAAAGTTCTCTGCTCATGCTTCTGGGTAGAGTTCACTGAACTTCTTCTGGCTCATGAATTGTTCTTTGCTGAAATGAACTGTGTGAAATTTAATTTCTCTAAAGTTTTTAACATTTGCTGGCTTCCCAGTGGAAAACACCTCAATGGAAGATAAAGACAAGGATCCTCTAAAATGGCAATAAGCAGCATCAAAACCCAAATTTTCCTTATTTTAGAGTTTTCCAGTGACTTCATATAGTCCTCAGAACTCAAAAGCATAAGAAAATGTAAACAGAAATCAGATTATGCAGGAGCAAATTACAGCCATATCAAAAATTTAAATATGACATTTTTAGCCAAGGTCTTCTTCAATTATTTTTTCTTATAGGAAGAGCACTGCGGAATTGAATGTAAAAATTATGCTTATCCATATCCATTAGCATGTAAGCATCAAAACATTTGATGCTGAAATTTAGTGCCTGAAAAAATGTTGATCATCTAGCAAATTGCTGATTGATAAAAGTTAAATATGTGAATAAAACAATGAGTGATTAAACTAATTTTTGTTTCTGTCTCTAAGTTCAATTTCAGCTAATCTCATGTCTAAGCTAATTCACGCCACAGTTTCTGGACTAACTCAGATCATATCTGAATGTATTAGAAACTTTATATTTATCGATAGGTAGTGTCTAGAATTAATCTTGAGGTTTTGTCTAGGTGCTCCATAAGCCTGTGATTTGCTTTTAAGCTTCCCGAGCCATGTAGGGAGAGCATTTCTAATTTAGTCTTCATTGCGTAAATCAGGTCTG